AACTACGCACCAGCGGTGCGTGACCACTGACCGGAAGACGGAGAGGGTGTATTTCCAAATTCATAATAGTTTTGCACAATAATAAAGGTGTTTGCATTTATCATTTAACATGACACAAGAAAATTTTTTACATACATAATATTTTGTGGAGCTCACATTTTTTGAAGCAAAAAAAAAAAAAAAAAATTATGGCACGCAAAATGAATCTCTATAACATTACACAATTACTTTTCCTACAACATAACTCTTATAAAACCAATAATCAAAATAAACAATTCTTTTACTTTCTGCGTTTTTTTCTTTTTTACATTTATTATTACCACGTCGTAGTGTTTTTTATAACGCGTGCCATGACGTTTGGCATTTCTTTGGTCTCCGAGATTTGGCATTCCACTACTTGCGTGCTTTGTCACTCTTCTTCTTTCTTTCTTTTTCCTTTTCTTTTTCTTTTTTATTAAAGTGCAATTGTTTCTCTGAGATGTTCATGTAGGTTTTTCCGCAGCCGATTACGTACGATGTCGATGGTAAAAGACATTGAAATCAAAAAAATTGGTGAAGCACATTATTCATTAGATCCAAATGTACAAAAAACATTCAATTTAACTTTTTACAATATATTTATAGTTTAACTTTTTTCTTAGTTTTTATCATAATCAAAAATTTTAAATGATATGAGGGTAAATTATTAAATGATTGCATGACATTACCCGATAAATAATTAAATAAATAAGCTATTAGATCACCAAAAAAAAAAAAAAAGCTATTATGTCAAAATTAAATGTCTGTGATTTTCCTTAACTGTGTTTTAACCATCTAATGTGATGCTATTATGAGGAATAAGATATTACATATTAGTTAGTACTCAGTAGTCAGTACTATACTACTCAATTGCTCCATAGAGTAACCTCTAGAGTAAACCGTGACATATATGTTAAAAATAAAATAAAATTACTTATTTAAATTTCATGTGTTATTTTTTTAACATTAAAAACAATATAAACTAATTAGGAAAAAATCTGTAATAACTTCTATTCTAAATGCACTTCACTATAATTAATTGAAGTATGTGCAGATTGTCAGGCGGATCTCAACACAGATGATAATATAATTTTACGATATAATTATACTTAAAAAATATTACTGACATGTTTTCCGACAATTCTATGTTATACTAAATAACATTCATAATGTGCCAAAAAAAGATAGCATTTGAGAGATTCAATCTTAGACCAAAATCTAAATTTAGGTGTAATATTTGAAATAAATTCATATTTGACTCTCATTAATATTTAAGAAACTTATTTTCATATTTTAATATTGACATTTTTTGTTTAATTATAAGTTATACTTAACCATTACAAAATCATTTTAAAGAAATAGCATGACATGCTTGGAGAAATTCTGATATACTATTACAATAATATGTTTAATGACCACGATTTAATTTAAAAAAAAATACATAATATTTTCGAGTTATTATAATAGTTAGTATAATTATTAAATTTAGATATTATATTTTTCCAGTAGAGAAAACATATTTTTTAAAACATATGAGAATTTCTTAAAAAATTGAAATATATGCATGGCTATCGCAAATTCAATTTGAACACAATGAAAACTAAAGGTCTATATGATAAACCAACGGTAATGGGTGATATGAAAAAAAAATGTTATAGTTGCCCACTAATTTAAACCGGTTTTAATAAAAAAAAAAAATGTTCACATACAAGCTAAAAGATAAAAAGTTATTTTCAGTATTATAAAAACCTAAAATCAAAAATTATTATAGTCTGTTTTAGATAACAATTCCAAACAATATATAGAATATAATCAACAGTTTTTTCCATGTACAATTTTTTTTTTCTCAACTAAAAAAGTATCCCCAAACATGCACTCAGGAGTGTCGATGGTGCTATGGGCTTTATTTTTGGAGCTTACGGTTCTTTTTAGTTCTCACTTCACTATTAAGGTAGAAAAGTCTAGCTCTTTTTTTTTGTTTTTTGGTAACAAAGTATGGCTCTTTTACTTTTTAAGATACTTCGACTTAAATTCTTGTTATCCTTTAATTCAAGTTAGTGTCGTAACATACTTTATAAACGAGTCTTTTTTTCCCTACTAATTTTATAAACCCCCCATTTCCCCCGTTTTACATATTGTGGTCAGGTTCACATCCCATTCCCCCCGTTTTACATATTGTGGTCAAGTTCACGTGTATTATTCCTTAATAAGTTTAGTTTTCTCGTATAATATTCTATATCAATCGGCAAAGCTCTTACCCCCCCCCCCCCCCCCCCCCCCCCCCCCCCCCCCCCCCCTTCTGTATATATTCTGCTTGCAAGAGTTTTAGATAAACATTCTTCATTTTTTGTGTGAACTTGAATGCATATTTAAAAAAATAAAAGAATTTTTTTTTTTTAAGTAACCAGAAAGGAACAATAATGGAATAAATCTGTGTGTGTAATGGCAGAGCGGAGGTTATGTTATATATAGAATTAGCGAGTATATACAACTTGAAATGCATGATATAGGACACTTATATTTTATATACACAACACTCCCCCTCAAGTTGGAGCGTACAAATCATAAGCACCAAGCATGTTACATATATACTCTATTCGAGGATCCCTCAAATACTTTATAAATATATCTGCTAATTGATCATTAGAAGGTACACAACTAGTCACAACTTCAATAGTAAAGACCTTCTCTCAAACAAAATGACAATATATCTCGATATGCTTGATTCTTTCAAAAACACTAGATTGAAAGAAATATGTAATGTTGCATGGTTATCACAAATGAGGGTTGTTGATCCAATGTCTCCAAACTTGAGCACTCTAAGAATTTGCTTAAGTTAAATGAGCTAGCAAGTAGTAGTAGCCATGGAGAGATACTCTGCATCAGCACTTGATCTGGCAACTACTTATGCTTATTACTTTTCCAGAAAACCAAGTAGCCTCCAACAAAGACACAATATCATGTAATAGATCACCTGTCAGTAGGACAATCGGCTCAATAAGCATCAGAGTACCCAACAACTTTAACATGAACTTTATCTTCATATTCAAGGCCTTTTCCTGTACATGCCTTGATTATACTTGAGAATACGAATGGCGGCATTTCAATGATTTTGACACGGAGAATTAAGAAACTGACTTACCACACTAATTGCAAATGAAATGTCAAGCCGAGTGACTGTGAGGTAGTTTAGTTTTTCAATCAATCTTCTATACCTTTTAGAATCTGAAAAAGGCTCCCCTGATTCGGTAGAAGCTTGACATTTGGATCCATGTGGGTATCAACAGACTTAGAATTTAACAAAGCAGTCTATTAAAGAATGTCAAGAGCATATTTCTTTTGAGATATCACAATGGGACAAAACATTGGTGAAGGAAAAAAGAGTACAATAACCAAATCTTCATTCATTATATAAGGATATTCTTATCCAACATTCTTCAATTATATTTCGGGATTCATCTTTGTGCATATTGTGGTGGAGTAATTAGAACATAAATCGCACATCCAATAATTATAAGATTATAAATATTTGGCTACAGAGCATAAGCCAATTATGATGGAGAGAATTTATGATAAATTATTGGCATGATGCATATAAGTAATACTGCATGTAGAATAATATTTCCCCGCCGAAATGGGAACTTTGTTCTTAAATGCAATGATCCAACTATTAATTGGAGATATTTAATAAATAATTTGCTAAACCATTCCAGGTATAACGATTAGCAACAAACTATTCAACTGTGATTCAAGTTAATATATAATAATTGTCAAAAGCCTGATATGTAAAAGCGATAAATAAATGACTCAATTTATATTACAACAAAGTAAAGAAAAGCTAATAATATTATGAAGAATTAGACATGTTATTTTCAATGTTTCAATTGTCCCGTTTTGATTTCTTTTTCTATGTTTATCTATTTATTTCTCTTAACAATTTATTATTTTGCTATTTAGGTTCATGACCATCTATTTTAACTAATTTTTAATAAATGTTATATTGGTGTTAAATTCAAATGTTTCAATGCATATATATGTAGATTTTATTTGAATGTAGATTTTATTTGATTTAACATCTATTTTAACAATCATAAAAGGATATTTATGAATGTTAAGTGATTATTATTGCATTATTCGACAAACTTAACATGATGTTAATTCATTAAAGAGAAATCATTTTCTCAGTTACATGAGAAGAATTATCTCATGTAATATAGATAATATCACAAACGGAACCCACATATAAGAAAAAAAAAATAGAAGTTAAATTGCTTATATTTTATATGTAGGAACTTAGTTTCTCTGATGTGAAATGAGAGAAATATGTTATCAAAAAAAAAAAAAAATAAGAGAAATATAACCCTTCGTTAAATAGTAAAAAAAAATTATATTAATAATGATCTAGACACATATTACGAACTATATTTGGTCTAACTCATTATGATTCAAGAGCCCCAAAAGTCAGGATTTAAACAAATAAGGAAATGAGTCCATAATACATGTCATCTCGCAAAACCATAACTATGATAACAAGAACTCAAAACTCTACGGCCTTTGCAATAATTAAGGTAGTGTTTGGTTGGGGAGAAATTTTTTTAAAGTGGGTAGTTGTCTTTACTAGGAAAGACGTTGAAAAATTAGTTTGGTAGGAAAGTGTAAAAAAAGTTGTTTGGTTGTACAAAATATTACTAGGAAAATTGGGTTAAATATCCTGATGTGCGTTTAGTTGAAAATAAAATTGTGATGGGAAAAATAATGCAAAAGACGATATTAACCTTTTTATAAAATTATGCATTTTCTAACATGTATTCTCGATTCTTTTTCCTGGTTATGGATCAACGTTTGGTTAGGGGTTTGAAGGACAGTGACGAAATGGATCAATCATTCCTGGTAATGCTATCGAATCTCCTCCACTTCCACAATTCCTTAGACCCACCACCTCTCTCCTCTCTGACATAATCTCTTCCACAACCGCCACCGCCTCACCTTCCTCCGCCACATCCCCAACCTCTCTCCTCTACTCCTCCTCCATCGCCCCGCTTCTCTTCTTCACCATCGCCTCTGTCCTCTCCTACGTCGCCTCCACCCGCCCCACCACCACCGCCACAACCACCACGACTCAACCACATCCCAACGCCTCCGATTACTCTGTCTCCGCCTTCCGAGCCCTCACCACCGAACACATCTGGTCCCTCGAAGCCCCCCTCCGCGACGCACACTGGCGCTCCCTCTACGGCCTCTCCTACCCAGTCTTCACCACCGTCGTCGACAAACTCAAACCCCACATCGCCTTTCATATATGGTTTTGGATATCACTTGCTCACGTGTGATTAAGAAGGAGGGTATATGTGTCATGCCCTTCATCACTTTTTCAGTTATCCGATTTTTCAAACGAATTCCACATGTTCAGAGGCTTTCTCAACAGTGTCAAAATTCGTTTTTTACACTTCTTCTTGAATTGCTGGGCAAACTACATTGATGGGCAAATTTACCAAAAATCTTCAACCAAACGTGGTTTAATCAAATCTCCACATCCACTTTGCCATCAAAATTTTAACTTCTCCCCAACCAAACACTACCTAAGGGATATGTACTTGATTCCAGCTATGCCTAACAAATAGGCATATAGCATTCACGCACACATGATAGATTATAGAAGTCACCACAGTCTATCAATGACATAAATGTCATCATACTAAGGCATCATAAGCATGTATTCAACTATTATATAATGAAGACTTGAAGCAAATGTATGATCATCTTATTTATCTTAATTAAGGCTCATTGATTAAAAACTAACTTGAACGTTTGAATTGTCCTCCAAGTACTTCACATTTGTTCTAGGCAAACAAAGTTATCCGGCACCAGCCCAGCCATCTTAAAGGAGTATCCCGTGACAACATTCATTCGGAAAAAACTCACTCACATTCTCAACCATATGATTTAAGTAAACTTCTCTTTGAAGGTTCAAATAATATGTCAAAAATTAGATTTGTACATGCATGTAGATATGTAAGTTTGAGTCTATTATTCCTTTGAAAAAACTTAAAAAATAAGTGTGAAGACGGGAAAAAAAAGTTAAAGTCGAAACAACGTGATCTTCACAATAAATCTCAGTACTAATATATTTAATCTTTTTGGACATCATTCATTCATGCTACTGTGTGTGTGGATCATGTTCTGTGTAAATGAAACCTGAGACTGGCGGAATACAGATTAATAGATTTTACGACATTTCTGACAGGTTAAAAAAAATTAACTATACCTACATAAAAACCATTTTTAACATTGATTAACAAATATAAGTATATCATAATTTCTAATTTTTTTTGGTTACATCATAATTTCTAATTAATTAAAGGCAATAGCAAAACAGAGTTCTTTAGGCTTTGTTTGGGAGTTGGTTTTAAGAGGAGAAGGAAAGGAAAGAAAATGGAGGGTTTTAGTAAATCATTCCTTTGTTTGTGAGTTTAAAAAAAGGAGGGGAAGAGTTTGGGAATTTTTACTAAACCCTCCAAAATCCTCATTCTTCTTAAGATTAAAGTTCCCCTAATTTGGAGGGTTTGAGGGAAAAAATATTAAAAATTACTTATCTACCCTTAGCATTAAAATGTTAAAACTACATAATTGTGAATCATTTTTAAACGCGATATTATTAGAAAAGTCTCAAATACCGACAGAATTTATTGACGAAAAATATTTCGTCAAAAATAGTGATGAAATTTTTGATGAAAATCATATACATCAAAAAATTTCCGTCAAAACTAAAGACAAAATTAGAGAAGGAACCAGATTTTACCATAATTACTAACATAAATATTGTACGGAAAAAAAAAATTCAGTCAAAATTATTGATAGAATTTAAATTCCATCGAAACTTTTAACGAAAATATTTCTGTCCAAAATTTTGATGAAACACATTTCCATTGAAAAGTTTCGACGTAAAACATTACGTCAAAATTTTTTACGGAAAATATTTCCATCAAAATTTTGACGAAAAATGTTTCCATCAAAATTTGTGACTAAAAATATTTCTGTAAAAAATTTTGATGATTTTTTTTTTGTCAAAATTCTTTACGGAATCTAAATTTTGCCAAAATATTTCACAAAAAAATATATTCATTGAAATTTTTTACGTAAACTATTTCCATCAAAATTTTCAACGAAACACATTTCTATCGAAAATTGTTTACGAAAAAAAAATCATCAAAATTCTTAACATAATTTAAATTCTGCCGAAAGTTTTCGAGAGAAATATTTTCGTTAAACTTTTTGGCAAAAAAAATTTCTATCGAAAATTTTAACAAAACATATTTCTATCGAAAATTTTCGACGGAAAATATTTTCGTCGAGTTTTTTGATAGAAAGACATTTCCATCAAAATTTTCAACGGAACGCATTTCTGTAAAAAAAATTTGACAGGAAATATTTTCGTAAAATTTTCTGACAAAAAAAATATTCTGTCAAAATTCTTTACTGAATCTAAATTTCGTCGAAAGTTTCGAAAGAAACATTTCTCACAAAATTTCTAACAAAACAATTGCTGTCAAAATTTTCGTCAGAACATATTTCCATAGAAATTTTGAACGGAAAATGTTCCGTCAAAATTTTTGACAGAATTCTTTTTTCTTTTAAAACACTTGACGGAAACTAAATTTCGATAGAAAATTTATTTTTGTAAAAATTTTCATCGGTTGAAAAATTCCATCGCTTTTCGTCGAAAAGCATTCCTATGAAAAAATAATTTTGTGACGAAATTTTCATCGTTTGCAACGTAAAAATTTCATCTAAAATATGATCTTTTTTTGTGTTGTGAAAAGTATATACATAATTTTGTTAGAAATTTCAAATTTAATTTAATTTGTAAAGTATAATAATTATATTAAATTTAAAAAAAAGTAAAATGGTAAAAATATCTCATTGACCCTCCGTTATCCTCTCATTCCATTTTTTGACTCCCAAACAAGGGAAGGGGATACCCTCTAATTTCCTCCCCTTCCTTCCCTTCCCCTCCAAACTCCCAAACAAGGCCTTAGATTTCAGGGTAATTGTTGAATTAGATAAAAAAAAGTAGTAACGATTCATTTATCCAAAACTAAAAAAATGCAAACTCATTCTGCCAAAAATTCTTCCCACAACATTTTTAAGTATTTAGCGTTTTTGTTATTTTCAGTTCTAAGTACAACCCTAATGAAAACCTTCTTTATTTTTTCTATCCTCCACAATAATTTTTAATATTATTAGTTATCTGTATATCCCAGAAAATAAATTAAAATCGATAGATCTAACTTTAGTGATTAAAAAAAAACTTTAGTGTTTACATTGAGCCAATTGGGATTAGCTTTTGATAAAATAAATGCTAAAGAATTTAATTTATATTTAAAATGGTTTTTTAAAAGTCAGAGAGATATATCTTAGATTCTTAAGTGATCACGCAGGGTGATTTCGGGTTATATTTTATAAAATTAATTTTGAAAATTTCAATGTTGAAAAATATAATTTATGCTTTCAGAATGATGTTTTAATAACGAGTTATGAATTCGACGGTAGTTGAACTAAATTAAACCGGATTAGATAAATAAAGATCGTATAAAAAATGTAATTTAGAAAATTTGATTTCATTTAGATATAAAGTAGAATCGATTTTAAGATATAAATATAAGTATAAATAAAAAAAGTATAGCTATAAATATAAGTACATTTTTTTAATTTATAAAAAGTTAAAAATTATTTATCTTAAAATTAATTCTGTAAACCCAAAATGAACCAAACAAAATGTCTTGATGGTCCATTTTTATTTTTTTATGCAAACATGATTTCCACACAAAACAGTCAGGCTCCGAGTAACTATATAATGCATTAACAAAATATTACAAGTGATAAATAATTTGAAAAAGGCATAACAAATTGTTATTGTTATTGTTGATTATTGATAGATAATAATAATTTCCAAAAAGGACAGCGTCGATTGGAATTCAGAAGCAGCAATTAGGGTTAGGGTTAGGGTTTGGGGAAAATTGAAGGAAGATGGGAAGAAAAGAGAAGAAGAGAAAGCATGAAGAATATGCGACGAACGCTTCGACGTCGTTTGTCGTAGCAAGTACTGACGACGACGATGAGGCAAACGAGGGTCTCAGCCTCAAGATTGTCCAGAAGGCGCTGCTATTGCGTGCGCCCAACCCTCAAAACGAAAACGTATTGGATGGACCAAGAGGAATTGCTGCTTCGTAAGTGGATAGTGTCGTGATTAAGAGTGAGAGAAAGAAGAAGAAAAAGAAGAGGAAGCTAGAATCTGGGGATCAAATTGTAAGTGTTATTTCCACGTTTGGCTTGTTTTATTGAATGTTGATTGTGTAAAAAAATAAAATATTTTTTGTTTTAATGTAACTTGGCATTTTCATTGAAAGTTGTGTGAGCTTACTATGCGTCTATTGCATTAAGATTTTAAAACACTATTTTGAGATAAAAAAAATTATACATTCCAAAAGACTATCTAGTAGACTAGTAGTGACTTTATCTAGCAGTGACTTTAAAGATTTTTTTTACAATTAAGATTTTATAAGATTGAATTTTAAAAATCTTAGCTTGCATTAACATTAAATGGGTATGATTGCAACACACTCGAAATGCACATTCTGATTACACTGACATGGTTTAAAGACAAATTGAATTGAAATAATAAATTATTTATCCAAAAATAGTTAAGGTGCAAAAAAACAACTCAAAATTTCCATTTTATGTAGGCTGTTGTAGTTGAAGAAGAGGAGGCTGTAGAGACAATCAAAGCCACAGAGAAAAAGGAGCCTGCTGAAGCAGAGTAGCAGACACGGTTCAGATGAGTGACAATGCTGTTCTGCGGAAGCTGCTTGTGAGTTAAAAAATTCGTTCTAAAATGTGATTTTGAAAATGCTATGCATCTGTCTCCAAGGCTTAGTTGGGTATATGTTTCTATTCTATCAGCGGGGTCCAAGGTATTTTGATCCTCAACAGAAACTGGTTGGGGAACATGCTATAATTGTGGTGAAGAAGGTCATGCTGCAGTCAACTGTACAGCCGCGAAGCGCAAGAAACCTTGCTTTGTATGCGGCAGTTTGGGGCATAGTATTAAACAATGCAGCACGGTATGTCTGCTTTTCTTTTTTTATTCGTTTTGCTGTTTGAAGGTTCTCTGGATACGTTGTACAATATGTACTAGATGTGTTCTGTGTTTTTTTTACCATTTTTATTGATTGGCCGAGTCTATGGTGCAAGCTCTAATTTGGTTGCATTGCTGGCTTGGCAAAACTGCCATTGTGGT